ATATAATAATATAATAATAAAATAGCTTTCAGAAGCTGCGAAACACCCATTGTCCTGTAGTGTTTTTATTTGTATTGTTTTATATTCTTATTAATGAGACCATTCATAATGAATGTTATCTGTACAATAACAACATCCACTGATCAATTAAAATATATCTACCTATGCTGTGCATACTGTATATACTGTCATATCCACCTACATCATATACATACATATTTATTTCAGCATCCTTTGCACTCTGCATTATTGTCTACAAATATTATTGTTTTTTGTTTATATATGTATAACTCTACGTGTTTTGTTGAGCTTGTTGTCCTGTTTATTCATGTTTACTTATGCTTAGTCTGTGTTTGTACATTAAGAGCAGCGTAAAACCGGAGTCTAATTCCTTGTATGCGTGCACATGCCTGGCCAATAAAGTGATTCCGATCTATGTCTTTGTCCTGTTTCGTAGTAATAGCTGCATTTCTCAGTTCCTCATTGTGACCACTAGATGACGGCGAACATACATTGATGTAATTACACTCTGGTAGGCTCAATTTCTTTATCTCCAACCACATTCCAGGAAGTCACAAAACCCCCAACTGATATTTCCAAATAATAATGACAGCAACCAGTGAACAGCTTGATCCGACTGGGGAAAAGACTTCTGCAATGCTGCATGCAGTCACAGTTCCCACCAGTTGTTGGTCATTACTTAACACAGTAAGTAACTGCAGTGTGTAAGTTAATCACTTATGTATTTAGCTGATTGTTATTATTTTTTTGGGTGCATATTTATTAATTTATTCTCCATTGGTCCACATAAAACAGGACAAATATGTTAATTTTAATAAAGTTATGAGAAATATAACACAACTGTAGCTCTGGAAAACACTTCCTTGAATGCTGTTTTGTGAGCTGTGCCCTCACAGAAACCTGACCTCACAGTACAGCATCCAAGACCAACCTAAACAAATGTGTGTTTGAAGACATAGACTTCTAGGCATTTTCCATTATTTTTTAAACTAAACAATCAATCAGTAAATGAAGAAAATTATCAACATGTTAATTGATAATGAAAATAATCAGCTCTTGAGCATTCAAATACCACACTACCACACAGAGTTCCTTCTTAGTGGCAGGATAGCAGGTTGATGGCAGAGGGAGGAGACATCCCAGGATTCCTGCACTGAGCTCCCAGTTAAACAACAAGTACTGGGAGGTGCCGTCATTTGGATAGTTTGTAATTAGTTGTCTCCTTCTTCAGAGACCCTGAAACAGGACCTCAGGATAAGAAGAGGTAGTTTAGCTGCTGACTTGCGTGTCTTCTCATTGCCTTTTTTTTTTGTGACCCAAATTCCTCAGCCTTCATCTTCACTTCAACAGACTTTTAGTTCGGAAGAAAGAGGTCGCCTATGTGACTTGAATATGTGATTTTTTTTAAAGATGCGTTAGTCTTTATTTTACATCTGTGAATCCTGGGAGCTGCAGCTACACACTGGAGCAGAACAAAGACATCCTAAACCCTTTTCAGCTGCTACGGTAAGTTCTGAGCTGTGAAGGGCCTCTATGCTATGTCAGTATAATCCACTTTCATGTAGAATTACATGTATATAAACTGGTTGTAGCCTCCTAAATTAGACTAGGACAAATGAATAATTAGCTCTTTAAATCATTATAAGATATACTGTTAATCTGTTCTACCTGGAAATTGTTCCAGCCCTACAGGATATTTTTGTGTCAGATGTCATTATTGACCTATGTGGATTCATGTGTTTATGGTGTTGACCGTGGTTGTTGTGGTTGAACGTGGAGCTAACTCTCTGTTGACCGCGAGATGGAGGTGTGTTGATTCTGGCTGGTTGATGTTGACTGTTGTCCCTTCAGTGTTGACCTGCTAATAAATTCCAGCCATGGGAAAAAGTGTGTATTTTCACTTTGCAAGGAAACATCTGGGGAACTAGTCAAGATCCACAACACAAAGTTTCACTGAATACAAAGTTCATGTGTTTGTATCAAAGTGTTTTCTTTATGTGTTGCCATTGCTGTGGTGATTCTAATCATGTCCTCTCCTCCACCACCAGCTTGTCCTGAGAAGTTTAACAGATTCATGGAGAAGACACTGACAATAGGTCTGACTCTATTCTTAACGCTCTGTGTGGACATAGCAGAAGCTGGAGGACGGAAAGAGGGGGCCCATGGCGAGAACACTCAGAAGCATTCATCACGATCCTCAGATACTAAAGGAGGTCGTTGCTCCTACACCTTCATTGTTCCACAGCAAAAACTGACCGGCGCGCTGTGTTTGAACACGCAGTCTGCTTCTGCCAACCACTCGGAGGTGGCAGCGCTGCGGGTGGAGCTCACACGGCAGCAGGAACAGCTGGAGAAGCTTCGGAGCCAACTGGAGCAGGAGGGGTCCCTTGCCATGGAAGTAAGAGCCCTGCGCAAAGAGAGCAGCAACATGAATTCTCGCATTGCCCAGCTCTATGCCCAGCTGCTGCATGAAGTCATACACAAGAAAGACCAGGCTGTGGAGCAGCGAAGGGTGGAGAACCTCCTGCTAAATGCTACAACACAGGTGAGCAGAGAGCTGCAGTTCTTATTCACGTTTGATTCATGTCACAGCAAAGCAAAATTGTATACTTATCGTCATCAAACTGTGGTGGAACATCTCAGGCGCTGCAGGTTTCCAGTAACTACAGGGAGCTGGAGAAGAAATATGGAGCCCTCACCTCCATGATGAGCTCCCAGAACCAGTTTATTGCTCGCCTGGAGAAGCAGTGCCAGTGCAGGGACTCAACCCAGGCCTCTCTGGTAGGACAAAAACTGTCTGCATGTTACAAACATAGGAACACATGAACAGGAACTGAGTATGGTGTGCTGTTTTTGTGCTTTGGTTTGGACAGGTGGCGACTGCACCACCAAAAAGCCAGTCTAATGTGCATCCTAATTACAGCTCTGAAGCCAACGAAATGACCAACGATGTTCAAAGGGACCAAAGTGCTTCTCCACCAAAGCAGGAAAAAACAGTTGCGTCAATCCCCACCACGACAGCCAACACTCCTACAGACCCTCCCTTCATTAGTTTCCCTGTCACAAAGACTCCAGGTAAATCAATGTAAAAGCATGTCTGATAGCAGAAATACTTGGTTACACTTAAACCGATATATGTATAAGCGTATCTATCTTCTGTCAGAGTTATTTAGCTGCTTAGATAATAGAGAAGCTGAAGGAGTCAGTGACCTGCTGGTAGGAGCCCTATCTCTCTGGGAATGCCTAAACAATGTCAACAACAGCTAGCAGCTCTTATCAGAGCAGAGAGGACTTTCTAATGAAGACACACTTGTAAGCACGCATATGAACCGCAGCATTTGTTGAAACTTTACACTGCTAACCTATACGTGCACAACTGGAGCACTTGAAAAGACAAGTAGAGGACTTGCACAGTCGTTTAAACAAGTCAGCAGAAGCAAACCATGTGAATGACTCACTTCCTAAAAGGCCTGCCACTGCATTGCTACATCTTGTCGGTGTGAAGTGTGACTTGCTGACAAATGCTTGTCAGGGAACACCATTAGTTATTATCACTCTATGTGGGAAATCTTCCTCCATGTATACATTTTCTCAGCGCAGATTCCTATGCTCATCTTTATCACAGTGACATGAGACACTGAACATGTGTCGGGGAAAAATTCTTCAGCTCTAAAAAGATAAGCTGGAGTTGTTATATATCTGTGATCTTCCTGACACTAAAACAAACAGAATTCTAAAAGACTCTGTAACCGGTACTCTTTTGTGTTTTCCAAAACTTACACTGCAGAGTTAAAGTTGGTGTAAAAGCAATGTGTTTCACACAAAATAAATCCTCCGAAGCCAGTAACTCCATTTTTTAAATCACAGATCTATTCTGTCTCCATTCGACTCATTCAGAAAACTGTCTGCTCTCCAGACTAATTAACTCCATCTAAGAGCTAAGAGCTGGCCTTAATGTCATAATTAGCAGAGAAAGAGAATCTCAAAAACTAAATCATTTTAACAATCAACATTAGAGTATTCAACAAAAAATATGAATACGATAAAGTAAAGAATTCCAAAATGTTATCAAGGAATTAAGAAAATGTATTTATCATTACAAAAAAACTCTCAGGGCCGTGGCGGGACTGCCAGCATGTGCTGGAATCAGGTGAGACCACCAGTGGGATCTACCTGCTCCGCCCGCAGAGTGCCAACCGCCTCCTGCAGGCCTGGTGTGAGCAGAGTCAGGCTCAGGGAGGGTGGACGATCATCCAGAGGAGGCAGGATGGGTCGGTTAACTTCTTCAGGACGTGGGAGCAGTATAAGGTGATTCCACACACCTGAAAGTCTGCAAAGCACTCTAGGGTTAGCAGTTTACAGCCATGCTACTGTTGCTTTGAGCTATGCTAATATGGTCACAATGACAATGCTAATATGCTGATGTTTCTTAACATCTTAGTGTAGCGTGTTAGCATGCTGGCATTTCATAATTAGCACAAAAGTACACCTAAAGCTGATGGGAATGTCATTAGTTTTTCAGGTACTCAGTCACAATCCAAAGTATTGTAAAAGTTGGAGGACTTGACTAGTGTTATTACAATTCATCCTCAGGGGGACATGAATGTGTTCACCATTTTTTGTGCTAATCCATCTAGTTGAAATATTTCACAGGATAGGTGAGTAAAAACCCTGATCTGCTGCACTAGAGGTAAAATCACCAAAAGTCAGTAGGATGGGACAGTGAATGTGTTACAACATACCATGGCAATCCATCTAATAGTAGTTTAAATATTTTAGTGTGGGCCAAAGTGGTGGACCGTCATTCTAAAGAATATTTTGTGTATGTACATGTATATTGCAGCAAGGCTTCGGGAACCTAGATGGAGAGTATTGGCTCGGCCTGGAACACCTCTACTGGATTACTAAACAGGCCCAATATAAGCTACGGGTGGCTCTGGAGGACTGGCAGGGCCGGCAGGTGTTTGCCGAGTATGACAGCTTCCATTTGGAACCGGAGAGTGACTGGTACCGACTGCGGTTAGGACAATACCATGGCAATGCAGGGGACTCTCTGTCGTGGCACAACAACAAGGCCTTCACCACTCTGGATCGAGACAAGGACAGCTATACAGGTCTGTCCTCCCTGTGGTCCTGTTTGTCAGTTGTCTGGTGGTATTTGGACTTTTCCTGTTAATTAACCTGCTTCTCTGTTGTGTCACCAGGTAACTGTGCTCATTATCAAAAAGGAGGCTGGTGGTACCACATGTGTGCCCACTCCAACCTGAACGGTGTCTGGTATCGGGGTGGACACTATCGCAGCCGCTATCAGGATGGGGTCTACTGGGCAGAGTTCCACGGAGGGTCCTACTCTCTAAAACAAGTTTCCATGATGATCAAACCCACATAACTAATTGCATTGTGGACATGTGAGAAAGAAATGTAATGACGAACTGATGTAGACATATGTAGAAGGCCTTAAGTAATATGTTTCAGTGTTAATCCTGTACACCCTGTGCCTGTTTAATAAAAACTAAACTGTCTATACTTGTTGATTAGAGGCCAGTCAATGACTTTTGTATTGTTTGTTAGTAAATCACTGGACAGTGACTAATGTACTGAGTTGCCATGTCTGTCCTCTGTCTTGCAATTTCTTGACAAAATTTGATATTTTCCAGTTTAATAAAATTATGCCAAATTAGCTCCTGTATGACTGTTTTTAAAATGCTTTAAAACAGATACATTGAATCATCACCCAAGAATATGGGAGGAGATCATCTACAGTGTTTCCACAAACAACTAACTGTGGTTATGGTGTCATATTTCCGTTTTAGCAGTTCCTGTTCACCGGGGCGTTGAATTTCCTGAGGTATAATTTCAGTTTTTTTCCCCCTCAGTTCTTGTAACTGTCAGCAGCAGACCATCATCACCAAGGCCAGTTCTGTGCCAGGATTCATCTTATTCAGGTACTGAATCTGGACATCTGCTGGACAATCCTGAAACACATCTCACCCTTCCATCCACATCCTTTCTCCCGCGTGCTGATCTAGCATGCGGCCTCTCAGGATGTTGGGCCATCTCATGCTCATGTTTTTACTGTGTGGTGAGTAATAATTATACTCTATACTATACAATATATCTGCGTGGGTCTTAAATGTTATGCACTAGATTTATGCTGTGGCTAGGGACAAAACAATAATGCTGATGTGGTTTCTTGTTTGCTTATAGTTTCAGTAGCTCTATGTGTTAACAGTGTTGGTAACCACAAAAGGTTTAAATGTATACTAGACAATATCTATGTTATATATTATATTATCTATATCTAAGACACTTTTTTATTAACACAAATACAAAAAAATGTCACTTCTTTGAGATATAAAGTGGGAGTGGTTGGTGTTATGTGTGCTGCTCTATCTGTTCTTCCGCTCTTATATTGCCAAATGACTTGTGTAAACCGCAGTAACTGCGTGGTAGGCGTGGTGGATGTAGTCCATGATTTTAAGATAAAATGTATTAAAACAATTTAGCAGGTCAGCTGTAGTCTTAGCACAGGCCAGTAAATTCAGTGCTGCATGTAAACTACTTTAACTTTTTTTTCCAATTTTTTTTTTTTTAAACTTTTTTTTCCAATTTTTACATATGAAGGTTTTTTGAGATCCTAAAACAAGATATCTATCGTAAGACACTATCCCACCACGTTAAATTACAAAACTTTATCATAGTTTGTAGCGTGAATACTCTATAAGAGGGACAAATTTATTTTTTGCACCTTATTATTATTTTTTTAATCACGTTTACATCCGAAGAAGACAAGGTGCAGCTTTTCTCTCAGTTATTGTATAATGTGTCAGTGCTGATCTTATTACTGGTAACATGACAGTTTACTGTGAGCTAGAATCCAGCCATAAACTGTTAACTATAGGTAGCATGCATTAGTAATCGGAGTCAACAGAGGACAGCAAAGTCTACTTTTAAACTCCAATAAAAACTTTACCATTTGTGTATCAACAGAGGCAGACAGTACATGCCCAACTGAGTCCAACCCTCTCACCGTGCATCCTCCTGAGGTCATAGGAGAATATGGAGAGTCAGTCATGGTAAACTGCACAAACACAGAATTGATATTTGAAGAGATGTACTGGAGAAGTGGAAACACAACCTCTGAAAAAGAAGAAGAGCAGTATTTTATTGGATGGTCGGTGCCACTGTCAGACTGGCATGTAACGGCCGAGTGCGTAATAAAGCTGGACGATTCTGCTGAATGCAGCAAAGACGCTGAAATCACTGTATACAGTAAGTGTAATTTCAAATATTATATAATTTCCCTCTGGGATTATTAAAGTATTTCTGAATCTGAATCTGAATCTGAAATGAGTATTACAGAATGGCAAAATACATAAAAAAAACTCTAAAGTAACTTTTATCTAATTTTATTTTGATAGAGAATCCGGTGAAGGTCGACCTGTTTCCTACAAAGCATACAAACTCTGCGGTGGCAGAGAAACCATATGAGCTGCAGTGTGATATCCAAGAGGTTGCTCCTGTTCAAAACCTCATTGTTAGGTGGTACATAGACAATCAATACTTGAAGACGGACAATTTCACCAACACATCCAAAACACCAGTAAATACATTCTCTACTAGGAACGTCGTCCTCAGAAAAGATCAGCATGGAGCTCAGGTGAGGTGTGAGGCTCAGCTTGACT